TCTGTTTGCTAATTAAAATTTCAGCTGAAAATTAAAATATCCAATCTCATCCCTGCAAATAGACATTGGATTAATAATAAATAAACTTGGTTAGATGGATAGATATCATGCAGTAATGCACAAGACAGTGACCATCGTCATTGATAATCACTATTGATGGTTAATCGTTACATCTACGTTGCTGCTCTTTCAGTTTCATGCACCCCAAAATTGTTTCAGTCACTTTATTGATATGCCAGCTGTCCAATAGCTAATGCTAGGCATCGAGTCGTCCAAGATAAAATGTCATAACAAAGATATTTAAATATCCACCTTCTACTGATACTTTGAAGTGGTACTGACTGTACAGGTTTTCCCCACACACAGTGCCTATGTGGTAGATGCTACTGGCTTGTACAGATGCACCCCCAACTAAGAAACCCTGGCCACTGGCCCCTTTAATTTGTGGTGAATGCTGGTCTGTAGGTAGAGCTTTAAAATGATGTTCTGGGTCTGTGCTGGGTGTGTCTTGTACCCTGTTAGTGTTACTGCTGTGGTAACGGAGTCGATTTAGACCAGAAGACACAAAGAGAGATAGAGAACTTAAATTAGATATAACATCAGGAGTTAATAAAGACAAATTGTCTTTATTAACTCCTGATGACATGATGATTATAATGCAGCAGATCTATGTTTCACAGTTGAGCAATGCCTGATTTACTGACCCAAACGGGCATACAAATGATTTAGCCTTGGAGTTATAATTGGAGTATATTATTATTATTTCACAGGTCCACGATGGGCTTCATGGAATATAGGCATATTCCTTTGTATAAGGTGTGCTGGTATACATCGAAATTTAGGAACTCATATATCTAAAGTAAAGTCTGTGAATTTGGACACATGGAGTCCCGACCAGGTTGAGGTAATTGCCTTTTAATATTTTTTATAACACAGCTTTAACTTAAAGTAATATTAAAATTATTTCAATAAAAATATATTGGCCATATCAGCACAAGATATTATGCGAATATAATGTCATGTGTGATTGACAGACACAGCTGTCTTCACGAATGCAGCATTAAACTAGTTTATTTTTAGCCTGCAAAAATGGCTAAAACATTTCTTTTATTATATTGGCAGAAATTAATTACTGATCAGATAACGAGCAAAAATGCAACGTGATTCACTAGGCTTGGTTTTGTGTTGTTTCAGTCGATGACAGAGATGGGAAACAGTCGTGCGCGTGCAGTGTATGAAGCGAACCTTCCTGATGGCTTCAGAAGACCCCAGACAGACTCGTATCCGTTATACTTCCATACTTTATTTGAGAGCCAGAATGTCTTTTACATTAGTGGGAGGACTACCATGAATATTTTAGGATAATCACTATATTGATATAAATTCACTTTGAAATATTTTATATGATACAGGGTTCTCCAAGCTTTTTCATTATAGCATGGCGGGTGCTGCCTTTACGGTCCTAGTTGCAAATCGCCGAAGGCGGTTTGCGTGCTAGGGTGGTCCGGGGGCTATGATATTTAGCATGGCGGCTATGATACTTAGAGTGGCGGGTGCATTTTAGGATGGCGGGGCTTGACGATAGCCTGGCGTTCCGCCAGGCAATAAGTGCTCTTGGAGAACCCTGTGATAGTATAAACAGGGTAAAGAGCTTGGGAATGGTGTAGAAGTGGATTTATAGATGGTGGGAAATTAAAAATAGAGGTGCAGATCAAGTTAGGTTTCCTGAATGCGGTGAAGTAGTTCTTTAGAGGCTTTTATACGGCAGAAGTACGAACAGAAGCGGTACATAGCAAAGGAATGGGTGCCACCAGCAAGACCCACAGGAAAGGTAAGTGTTATACCAGTACAGTCTGTCTGTAGCTCTTTTGTTTCTATCCCTAGCTCTATCCTAGTTTTCATTGGCAGGCATGTAAGACACTAGAAAGTCAGCACATGTTAAAGTTACATTTTATGCTGAAGTGTGTGTAATAACTGGTTTGTTTTTAAACCTGTCATTTGCATTTTCTTTCTCAAAATGTTATAATTCAAAATGAGTAGATAAGAGTAATTGTCCCAGTTACGATATAAGGAACAGAGTATGTTCAAATAGAATGTTTGCATTTTACCGAACGTATATCATAGGTTGTGGTGTAACTAAACCGGATGTGGTATGCCTTTATTCGCTAGGCAATACTTCTTGCTAGTGAAGATGCTGACAAGAAAAAACCTCGATCACGTCCAACCCCGAAAGTTGCTTCCGAACCATACCTGGTAAGTCAACAATGTCGTAAGCTTCCTGCAATTCCTTCTCAGAGATACACGGCATGAAATTAGCCAAAATGTGAACAGGCCCACCCAAAATTTTAAACAGGCCTTTACAAGATTGAACAGGCCCTTAATTTTGTTCAATTTATTCCATTATTAATCAAAGTATTAGCTTTGTGTTTATTAGGCATACTCGTAGTATTTCAGTATTTCATTGCTATCAGTGGAGTTCTACCGTTTGACCCCTTACATGGACAAACTCCTCATCCCAGAGCAGGCAGGTTTCAGACCAGGAAAATCCTGGGATCTATGTTTCACAGTTGAGCAATGCCTGATTTACTGACCCAAACGGGCATTACAAAATGATTTAGCCTTGGCAGTATATAATTGGAGATTATATATTATTATTTCACAGCGTCCACGATGGGCTTCATGGAATAGTAGGCATATTCCTTTGTATAAGGTGTGCTGGTATACATCGAAATTTTAGGAACTCATATATCTAAGTAAAGTCTGTGAATTTGGACACATGGAGTCCACGACCAGGTGAGGTAATTGCCTTTTTAATATTTTTCTATAACACAGCTTTAACTTTAAAGTAATATAAAATTATTTTCAATAAAGAATATATTGCCATATCAGCACAAGATATTATGCGAATATAATGTCATGTTGTGATTGACAGACACAGCTGTCTTCACGAATTGCAGCATTAAACTAGTTTTATTTTTAGCCTGCCAAAAATGGCTAAAACATTTCTTTTATTATTGGCAGAAATTAATTACTGATCAGATAACGAGCAAAAATGCAACGTGATTCACTAGGCTTGGTTTTGTGTTGTTTCAGTCGATGACAGAGATGGGAAACAGTCGTGCGCGTGCAGTGTATGAAGCGAACCTTCCTGATGGCTTCAGAAGACCCAGACAGACTCGTATCCGTATACTTCCATACTTTATTTGAGAGCCAGAATGTCTTTTACATTAGGGAGGACTACCCATGAATATTTTAGGATTAATCACTATATTGATATAAATTCACTTTGAAATATTTTATATTATACAGTTCTCCAAGCTTTTTCATTATAGCATGGCGGGTGCTGCCTTTACGCGTCCTAGTTGCAAATCGCCGGAGGCGGTTTGCGTGCTAGGGTGGTCGGGGGCTATGATATTTGGCATGGCGGCTTATGATACTTTAGAGTGGCGGCGTGCATTTTAGGCATGGCGGGGCTTGACGATAGCCTGGCGTTCCGCAGGCAATAAGTCTCTTGGAGAACCTGTGATAGTATAAACAGGGTAAAAGAGCTTGGGAATGGTGTAGAAGTGGATTTATAGATGGTGGGAAATTAAAATAGAGGTGCAGATCAAGTTAGGTTTCCTGAATGCGGTGAATAGTTCTTTAGAGGCTTTTATGACGCAGAAGTACGAACAGAAGCGGTACATAGCAAAGGAATGGGTTGCACAGCAAGACCCACAGGAAAGGTAAGTGTTATACCAGTACAGTCTGTCTGTAGCTCTTTTGTTTCTATCCCTGCTCTATCCTAGTTTTCATTGCGCAGGCCATGTAAGGACACTGAGAAAGTCAGCACATGTTAAAGTTTACATTTTATGCTGAAGTGTGTTGTACATAACTGGTTTGTTTTTAAACCTGTCATTTGCATTTTCTTTCTCAAAATGTTATAATTCAAAATGAGTAGATAAGAGTAATTGTCCCAGGTACGATATAAGGAACAGAGTATGTTCAAATAGAATGTTTGCATTTTACCGAACGTATATCATAGGTTGTGTGTAACTAAACCGGATGTGGTATGCCTTTATTTCGCTAGGCCGATACTTCTTGCTATGTGAAGATGCTGACAAGAAAAAACCTACGATCACGTCCAACCCCGAAATGTTGCTTCCGAAACCATACCTGGTAAGTCAACAATGTCGTAAGCTTCCTGCAATTCCTTCTCAGAAGATACACGGCATGGAAATTAGCCAAAATGTGAACAGGCCCACCAAAATTTTAAACCAGGCTTTACAAGATTGAACAGGCCCTTTAATTTGCTTCAATTTATTCCATTATTAATCAAAGTATTAGCTTTTGTGTTTATTAGGCATACTCGTTAGTATTTCAGTATTTCATTGCTATCAGTGGAGTTCTACGTTTGACCCCTTACATGGACAAACTCCTCATCCCAGAGCAGGCAGGTTTCAGACCAACGGAAATCCTGTACAAGCCAACTCCTTAACCTTACCCAGTACATCGAAGTACGGTTATTGAAAAGAGGGTTAAATTACTGGAGCAGCTTTTGTTGACCTCTCCGCAGGCCTTACGACACCAGTCAACCAATCGAATTCTAACCAAAAACCTTTATACCAGCTAGTAAAGAGGATGTGAAGACTAGCAGACTAATCAGGGAACCATGTTGGCAAAACAGGCGGTTTTTCGTGGATCTCATGGTAACCGCACAGCAGATTGCGCGTATGACAGAAAAATGGCCTCCCTCAAGGATACTGGCGCCTGCCTCTCTTTAATCTATACACAAATGACCATGCAAATTAACACAAAGACACAGAGAGTTTCCTGCTTTATTTTGGCAAGAATGACCTCTGCATTGCTTCAAAAAAACCAGTCTCTTTGCGAAGCGAAGGTCCATCACCGATGCTCTCGCAGGCCTAACCACCTAGCTACACAGCAAACCATCTACGAGCCAATCCTGCGGGAAAACTCAGAATAAGTTCCTTCCATCTAAAGAACAAGCAGCGGAACCGCCAACTGAAAGTCAAATGGTATGACAAATGGCTGAAACATACCTATAGCCCAGTCTACCTACGGTGTTACTTTAGACGTTCGCCTAACTTACAAGAAATCACATTCATCAAGACAAAAGGCACAAGTATGTGGGTGCCAGAAACAGTATTCTAAAGAAGTTGCGCCAATACTTTAAATGGGGAACAAGACGCCGCGGACAATCAGAACCACTGCTATTCGCCTGTTGCTACTCTGACCGGCTGAGTTGCGTGCCTGTATGGAGTTAGGTCGCCCCATGCTGCAAAAATTGACCCAGCTTCTGAACATTGCCTGCCAGAGCATTTCTGGCATGCTTGAGACCAACCAAACCGTAGATGACCCTCTACCTGCTCTGTGGCCATCGCTTCCCCCACACGTTAGACGAAGATGGCTTCATCCCAAGGTAGAGAAAAGAAACTTAACCAAGGAGAATGACCCCCGCCACGCCCCTCTCAGCATGAAACAGTAAAGAAGAGACTAAAGTCCAGGCACAGTTTCATCCACGCCGTTCAACCCTGGCGATGGCCAACCTCCAAAACTACAGGATCGCCCAATGGTCAAAGCACTTCAGGCAAGCCAACATAAGCTTTCACTGCAGACCCCAGGAATCCCTCCGCCCGGAGCCAACGTAGGTATGGCCGACGTGGTTGTGCCATAAATCGCCTCAGGACAGGTTTTGGTCGATGTAGGGCACTCATGCAGAAATGGGGATACACTGAAGATGGTCCAATCGAATGCGACTGCGGGGAGGACCAGACTATGGGACATCTCCTGAAATG